TAATATTTATTAAATTTCAATAAATTGACCACAATACAATAAAAATACAATAAAAACTTGTTTTATTGTTTTAAAACAAGTGGATCTCTCTGCTGGTTTGAAATGGGCTGTTATAACACTGAGTTGTCCATGATGAGGATTCCGTAGCTCGATTTGCAACAAAAACCCCAGGATCAGGCGATCAGCTCGTATGGGAATATGTACACGATCCAGTCGCGACGGCCAAAGACAGAAAAAACTTTGAAAATCGCACAGATATAAATTCTACAAAAATATTGAAACAACTCCTAAGTCTTCTAAATAATATTTCAACACTTTAACAAAAATTCATTGAAAATATAATCTTTGATGGCGCAAATTCTTTCCAAGGTATTAGACGCCATTTTAGCGAGCGTCGAGTTGACAATAGTCGCTTCAATGGCCAATATCTCGAAAACTGCCGGGGGATCACCGGGATCATTCCAGCAGATTTAAAGCTTATATATTTTTCTTGATGGCTGCCAAAAATGAGGAAAATCGAACCATGAGAATTCTAGATATTTCATTTTAAACATTGTAAACATATTTAGACTTGAGTCAACACGTCGCGGGGAGTCGTCTAACTTCAAACATCAAAATAACATTGAAAACAACGTTTACCTTAGAGATTTTTGCAGATATCACCAGATCTTTAGCAGTAGTACTATTAAACTTGAAATTTTGCAAAAAAATTTTAATATTAATGTTTTTTCTCGATTTATTTTCCGTCGAATACAAATTTTTCTGCCCAAATTCTGCAGAAAACACGATGGAAAATAGAGCGATCTCATTGGTCGAGAGCTCACGTGACAACTCGCTAATTGCTTGTCCGACCTCCTCTGGGAAGGCACTAGATAGGATCGGCCTAAACCCCATGAGCCAACAATAACATAATATTTTATCAGCGGTATTTTAATGACACTAGCGAATTTCCGGAATATTCAGGATTGGTTTCCGGTTTTCAAATGGTGCAGTATTAAATAACTAACGCGATCGACGGCAAGTTAAATTCGGTAAGTTTTATTCTAACAGACAGTTTTACTACCTTACATAAAAGCAGAAATCTTTATTATACAATTTATCTAATTTATAATATAATCTTGACTATAAAGTAGCAATTGAAGTACAAAATGTCTATTTACATGCACTAATATACTATATATTTAATACCAGACAATATGTTGTCTGATGTCACCAACCTTTAAATTACATTAATCTGTTTTAAATATATGCTAGGTCTGGTGTAGTAGAACTGGTGCAGGCTACAGTTAAATCCATCTGGATTAAATTAGACAATTCTACATTATTTAGGGTGAAGAAATTAATAAATACACCTTTGCAGTTCAATTCATTAAATAATTTGACTAATGTCTCTGCTGATTTTTCTTGTACTTACAATTTTCAGCGTTGCCCCGGGGTCGAGGAATTTGCTAATAGCGAATAAAAAATGACAAATCCCTGGGATGTTGCCAGGGGGGGGGGTTGGATGATAACAGTACGAATTGACTCATGCATTACCATAACTATAGTGCCATTCAATCACAATACATCCTTTTGATAATTACACCATGACTACATCCTTTGCCTGCTAGGGAGGATGTAGTCATGAGAATGAGGCTCCCAGGCTATTAAGGAGAGATTTATGACAATCCCACTGTTAATTCGCCCTTCAGTCACTCATTAGAAAGGACTTAGCAACCATTAATATAGAATTAACATAAATGCACTAGTTTAGACTCTCAAAAGTTCAAATTGCCGTGCATAAATTCCACATTATTACTTGTGTCCCAAAAAATGCTCCCAACTTTGTTTTGAAATATCACAACATTATCTTTGCTAAAAGTTTCAGATCTATATACAGTACCAGATAGGATATCTATTGTATCATTTAAATCCATCAATATTTGACTGGGTTCTACAGCACATTTTCGAGGGGGTCTTCGGAAAACCGTTTCCGAAGGGATCTAAAATCAGTAACCTTGTCAACAGGGGGGTGTAAATTTTAAAGGGAATGGCTCCAATTGACTCACTCTGGTAACTGTGTTTTGTTTAGAGTTGACCCCTCCCCCCCCCGTCATTTTTGTGACGTCATATGGAACCCAAGAATTGTGATTGAATGGCACTATAGTTATGGTAATGCATGAGTCAATTCCTACTGTTATCATCCAACCCTCCGGCCGGGCAACATCCCAGGGATTTGTCTTATTCGCTATTAGCAAATTCCTCGACCCCGGGGCAACGCTGAAAATTGTAAGTACAAGAAAAATCAGCAGAGACATTAGTCAAATTATTTAATGAATTGAACTGCAAAGGTGTATTTATTAATTTCTTGACCCTAAATAATGTAGAATTGTCTAATTTAATCCAGATGGATTTAACTGTAGCCTGCACCAGTTCTACTACACCAGACCTAGCATATATTTAAAACAGATTAATGTAAAGGTTGGTGACATCAGACAACATATTGTCTGGTATTAAATATATAGTATATTAGTGCATGTAAATAGACATTTTGTACTTCAATTGCTACTTTATAGTCAAGATTATATTATAAATTAGATAAATTGTATAATAAAGATTTCTGCTTTTATTGCTGCCGTAGCGAGCGAGCGTGAAGCGAGCGAGCGAGGCAGCAATCCTAATCTTTATGTATATGTATATATATATATAAGGCAGATGAAATCTCGATCGTTTTGGCGTATTTCGGCCTACCACAATGCACTGCTTCCGGGCCGGCAGGCTATTCTTGCCTAATAAACAGGCATAAGGCAAACAAGCAATGTGATCATCTTTCATCTTTGGTTTTCTTTTATGGAAAGCCATAGCTGGCGTAAGTGATCAAACGGCATTTTGTCGATACGCAGTGGTTCGAACGTTATACGCGGTGGTTTCGCTATTATACGCAGTGGTTCGAGCATTATACGTGGTGCTTTCGCCATTATACGCGGTGCGTTCGCCATTATACGCAGTGGTTCGAGCATTATACGCGGTGCTTTCGTCATTATACGGGGTGCTTTTAACATAATTTCCATATTCTTTCCATGTATATAATCTCACGATTGCTTAATAAATCTGGTAGGCATATGTGGCTGTGCTTTTTGCCTCTGGTCTGCAATGACAATGACATGCTTTTAAAAAGGTTTATTTATAAAAAGGTGACTGCACTTTGTGAGTTCTTATATATTATCATATAGTGTTGATTTATTAGTAATAAATATGTGTATATAACATAGGTATATAAATTAATATAACGCAGCGAATGCGCGCCAAGCAGTATAAACGCGGCTGAAATACGATATTAAAATCTTGAATGTGCCGTATCACCCGTATGATTTAATTATGTTTTAGGATTTAAAGCCTTTAAAAATGCTTTGTCATTTGTATTTGTACTTGTACTGCATCACAACGCAGTGCGTAAGTGAACAGATTCCACATGTGAGGTTGTCTTGTATATATTTTTGCCTTCTTTGATAAACATTATTAAACACGCAAATTTAGTGAGACGCACACTCGCACATGTTAAATGTCACCTGCATGTCATTGTCATTGCCCTTTAACCCCTGGTCTAAATCATGATTATTGAAGCGGGGCCGTTTTGACCTAGCACCGTATTTGTAGGCAAATTGTCTATACAATTTTATATACTATATATCACAGCCATACCTGCCATTTTGATCTTTTCCTCGCATTAGATAAGTTGATAAGTACACTCATTCTTGTTAGCCATCGTACCTGTTCGGCTGTTCCGCTTTCGATACGAAACTTCGAGCGCCGAGTTATCATACGGCACATTCAAGTGTATAAATTATGGATGATTCCAACGGACCATTCCCCGATTAACCAAAATTTTGAACTCAACAAATCTAGACTTTGCAATTTTCAGTCATTTTAGATTACAAACGGGAGATGGTTACCACTTCTGTGCGTAATACAAATTACAAAATGACTGAAAATTACAAACTTCGCAATGCTATGTTATCCGCATTTTACAACATTTTGCAACGTAACTTTGGAATATTACTAATTTTGTGATGCTCTTTCAAGTTGTGATGAAATTTTTGTTTAGGCTAGTTAATATCAAAATTTTGAAAAAGTGGTAACCATTTCCCGTTTGTATAAATCTAAAATGGCTGAAAATTGCAAATTTCGCTAGGCTATATTATCCGCATTTTACAACATTTCGCAACGAAACATTGGAATATTACTAATTTTGCGATGCTCTTTCATGCTATGATGGAATTTTGTCTAGATTTGTTGAGATCAAAATTTTGGTTGATTGGGGAATGGTGATTACAAATATTTCTTACTCTTATTCTTTAAAATATTAAATTTAATGATTTGGGAACAATGCTATACCAAGGCAGCATTCACTACCCTGTGGGTAAACTAGTGTAAGGTAGTAAAACTGTGTGTGTTAGAATAAAACTTACCGATTTAACTTGTCGTCGATCGCGTTAGTTATTTAATACCTGCCTCGTCCCTCGTCGCTTCAGTTGGGAATAGAGATCAGTGGAAAACAATGGGAGCGCGGTGCTTAATGGGAATGCGATAGAATCTGAAGCGACTCGGAAATCCCGCATCCAAGATGGCGTCCATTGTAAATTGTATTATTAAATGGCCGAGATAATGCAAATAGGGAGGATTTTTCAAGGTCGTTATGTATGACGAGGAAACGTTAAAATATATTTCCTGTTTATTGAAGAAGGGTACGAAGGTATGTTCATTTACATTTTACATATTTTACGCTCAAAAATGTATCAATTGTCGCAATTTATTAATATATGTGCATATTTAAAAATATCGATCTTGTTTTGACTGTTGTAGAGTGTAGACATTGGCAAGTAGTTCTTGGTTCGACGTTTCTGGAGAAGGAACGTTATTTCCATATTTGCCCAAGATCCGAAAGAAGTTGCCAAAATATACGGAATGTTTCTTTTGCACTCTGTCAAACTAAAGACATACGCTGATCAAAATATTTCCCTGTCGAATCTCAGGTAAAATATTGTTAAATTAATTTCTATTAATCAATAATTTTATAGCCTTTGCACCATGTGCAAGTAGCAAGGTTAAGGATGCCACCTTGAATATATTGTTAATTGTTTTCACCATTGTGTTTGCATAATTGCACCCCTTGCAAATAAGCAAATTTACCTATTAAATATAAGGAATTTTATTGTTTGCACCCCTTGCAGGAAGGGTCTATGCCAAGTCTATTGTTTTCAGTTTTTGAGGCTTAACACCATACTGACTTGGTTTTATTAATGCAATTTTCAAAACAAACCCTTGTGCACTTACTTAGCAATCAGCTGTATCAGCATCAGGTTTGAGTGATTCAAACAGTGATAGTACCTTAAAAAAGGCTTGCTATACATGGGGATATCCCTCTTATCAGGCAAAGCCAGCTTTCACAGAAACATCCCCCATGTTTGAACCCCTTTTAGCATACTGTTCTTATTAATAATTTCATTGGGGAAAAAAACATAGGTGTGTGGGGCCTAGCCAGGTGCCAGTTAGATCATGTATCAAGGTTGTCAGAACTCAGAAGTGGGGGGGGGGCAGCATAAGCCCCCCCCATCTTCCATTTGTATGAGCAAACACACTGAAAAGTGCAAAAGCAATTCAAATTTATTCTTGAGACCCCATCCCAATATTGATTTACTTCCGACAGCCTTGTGTATATACATGTAATAAGTTTTCAAAAATATCAGATTTTCTAAGAAGATCTTTTCTTGTAGGCTACTAAAGAAAACAAGAAATGAAACAAGATGGAATGAATATTTATTAAATTACAGATTTTGATACAAATTTAATTATGATACAAATTTATCTATTGTCTGAATATTATAAAAAGTACTCAGGCCAAATAAAAATAATAGTTGGCTTCAGGTTTCTGACCGACGTGTCAAAAATATGACCGGCCATAAACATATTATTGACATTTCCCAAGTAGGGATCATCTTTTCGTAAATATCAGAATATATAAATAGTCATCAGAGTCATTTGCTACAAAGTATTTTGTTTGCTCATAATTTAATCATTATCTAGTCATGTTAATCCTTGACGCATTTGTTTCTCGCAAAACATGTGTAGCTCCCGGTTGATCCCGTGTGGCACGTCTGATTATGTGTTTTTAAATAAAATGCTTTTCCAACGTACCTACCCATATAAAACATGGCTGTGAAACCTGAAACCAACTATTATGTTTATTTGGCCTCAGTAATATAAGTACAAAATATGTACAAAATGCTCTACAATGTACAGACATATGTCACCATTTATTATAATCATATCTTCAAGGAACTTGTAAACATAATATTGCAGAGATCTGTAAAAAAATGCTTTCATTGTTAATTCAGAGCAGGCACAGATTTTCTGTGTGTGTGTGTGTGGGGGGGGGGGTGCGCACCCTCCCAGAAATGATTTGCACCTCCCAAAGGCATTTGGCACCCCTGCAAATTACATATATTTCGATTTGATAGTTTCATATTTGATTATTCTTACTACTAAATTTGTAAAATTACCAATATTATGGTCTCAGATCTCGCCATGCAGGCCTAGAAAAAATTTTGTTAAACTTTTTCCTTGGCCTTTCTGGGTGTTGCCACCATGCCCTGGACAAAGCAAGCAGCAGCACCCTCCCCAGATATTATCCACCCCCTGAACGAAAATATGAAAATCTGTCTCTGACTCGGAGGGAAAGAAGTATTATTTTGTGTAGTAGTGGGATGGATTCACTTGGGGGTATTGGGGGAGGGGATTCTGTGTGAAATCCTTGGCAATTATCAAACAAAATAATAAAGGGATGGATTAATTAACATTGTTTTTTTAAGATTTTATATTATTAAGCTTTGTTAGTTCGGCCCTTACGATAACTCCATCACGGCTCAGCGTTTACTTTCAATATGATGATCTTGAGTATGTACAATCATCGTGTATCATTGATAATATCAAAATATTGCCCAGCCCTATTAACTGGTGATGACGTGGTAATGCTGAACCTGAGGGGGGGGGGGTGTCTAGGTAAAACACTGAGGTTAAAATAAATCCATAACATGGAGGCCTGTTCAGAACTCCTAAACCTCAAATGCCGACGACTAACCAAGGAGCTAGAACCTGAGATGCCCATTGGCTAAATAATTTTCATTAAAAAAATTATTATTCAGCATTTTCACATATTGCTATTTTAAGCAAAAGTGAAAAGTCTTACACATTTGGCAAAAACAAAGAGTAACTTAACTCTTAAGACCAACATAAAATATGTTCGTTTTTGGCAAAACGGTTAGACGAGGGCGGTTCAGTTCATGTTTCCCCTGAGCAGGACTTCTTGTTGACTTAATTGGCGAACATATTTAAATAAAAAATAACAGATATAGAGCATTTACCCAGCTTTACGTAATGGCGTCATATCACCGCCAATATTCATGTATATCATGCTTTCGACATTGAAGTTAAATAGGACATTCAGCACCTACGTGCTTTCGACATTGAAGATAAATCTGACATTGAACATGCAGAACATTCAACATATTTTCGACATTGAAGTTAAATAAGACATTCAACACCTACGTGCTTTCGACATTGAAGATAAATCTGGCATTGAACATGCAAAACATTCAACATATTTTCGACATTGAAGTTAAATATGACATTGAACACCTATGTGTTTTTGACATTGAAGTTAAACCGGACATTGAACATGCCGCGAATTTAGCACCCATCACAACTTCAACGTTCAAAATATGTTGAAAAAAATTACCACATGTTGAATATTGGCGGAGTTGAACGATAGCCTCAAATCTCCGCCAATATTAATTAAGCTAACACAAGATAACCCCCCGGCCAAATTCATTCGTATCCAGACCTCTAGAACATATCACATGACGCAAGCCGAGGATCGAATTCGCCGCATCTTGTCGCTGTATTGAAGGCCGTATATTCACCATAATATTCGCGTATATTCGCTTGATTGTCTTAAATTAATTGACTTTTATAGCGCAGATTGAATTGCTAGAGACGCAAAAAACGCAAAATCTGGTAGAATGAACCCAGAGGCAATAATTTCCGCAAGAGATGCAGGCAGATGCTCTGTTTGAAGTTGCTGAGCGATTGAGACAACAGTCAACAGCTGTTATTAAATGTATAAAAATTGATATTATTTTATTTATTAGATTATATTTTAAAAATTTCTAATAATCGCATTATAAATAATCGATACATTTTAATATTTAGAGTGTACTGGCAAAAACAATGCGTGCGTCAACGCGTACGTGAACTTTTGCTGCGACAGAAAGGCAGATGGTTTTCTTTATATATTAAATCGTTGTGGTGTAATGTGATAGTATAGTACTTGTCAATTTAGCATAATTTTGAGCACTTTTCTTTCCGGATCCGTG